ACCTCTAATTAACAATTGCAAATATATTCATATGTGCATGGGTTAGAAATTTTTAATGGTGTTCACTGAAAATGCTTTCCCTCCTTTTCCTTTGAAACATCTAAGGTCTTACAGCTTGAGCCAGTCAAAAAAAAAACTTAGAATTTCATGCTGCCTGTCACTGTAAAAGAACTATATGACTGTATTTCAGACAGCCTTGCAGAGTTATTGTTTATTATTGTTCCTTGGCCTATACCATGTCACCAACAATGCTGGCATGACTGAAAAAGAGAAGGTCACAGCATGAAATCTAACAGCATTATAGAACATTTGATATTTTTCAGTGTTTGTGTTTAAAATGGCAGCATTTGTTGTACCATTTCCTGCTGAATTACCAGTAGCAATAATATCTGGGTTCCTCTTTAGAAAATAATTTTTATCTAATTATGAAAGTAATTCACATATATACTGCTAATATAAGAGTATTTCCTTTTAGTCTTGTCTCTTTTCATGTTTTTGATGAGGTTGCTTAATTAGAATCTTAAAAGAATATGGTAGTACATACTGTTCTTTAGAGTACTCCTCACCTCCTTATTCTAAGCCCATCTGTTTGTTAAGTATTGGTTCTCCAAGTCACATACTGCCTAGCACAGAATTGTCTTTGGTGTATGGATCTTCTCTAGACCACAGACTTTGGTAGTGTAGTCCCTCAGAGTCACACTGTATCAGTTGTCTATATTTGGCTAGGCTGAGTCATGTCACCAAATATAGCCTATGCCTTCTGCATGATGTATGCCAGGCTTCTAGCTCCAAATGCCACAGCTGGCCTCCAGAGACTACTACCTTTCTTGTCATAATGGCCCTTAAGAGCAGGACTGCTGACCAGGCAGTCCTTTTTATATTTATATCAAGAGCCTTCAAAGGTTGAATTTTACCCACCAAATAGATTCAGTTGCCTAAAATCCTAATGCTTTCCTCTCTCTTTGGTAATTAAATTCAAAATGCAACAAAACCCGGTTATGTTTGTAGATAGATAAGTTATGAAAAAACCAATCAAATAAAACTGCAGGCACTGGGTTATATTTATATTCAGATTTCTCAGTTATTTTTATTTTGTGTGTTCTTTACTCATTTGTGAAATACTAGTGTTCAGTTCAGTGGAATGAACTTATTGAATATTTGCCTGGTTTCTGAACAAGAAACTCAGATGGCTAGGTAGAAAAAGCTCTAGTCCTTAAGGGAGTTTGTTATGTAAAAGAAACAATAGAGCTTAGCTAATAGCTAAAATGACAATGTAAGAATGTTGGCTAATGCTATCTAGCTATTGCTGTGGTAAGTTAACTTAAAAAGAGGTGTCCTTTTTGGAAAAGGTATCCTGGGAAAAGATGAACCTGGAAAAAATTTGAAAACAACTCTTTAGAAAAACATATCCATACAGAACCCTGCACAGGGATTTTTATGGCAGCTTTACTCATACTTGCCCAAACTGGAAGCAATCAAGATGTCCTTTGGTGGAGAAAGAAACTGTGGTCCATTCAAACAATGGAATATCAGTCATTGCTAAAAAGCAATGCAGAGCCAAGCCACAGAAAGACGTACAGGGCGCTTCAATGCATACTACTAAGTGAAAGAAGCCTATTTGAAGAGGCTTCTTTGATTTCAATTCTATGACATTCTGTAGGATTAAACTGTAGAGTCAGCAAAAAGATCAAGGATTGGAGGGTAAAGGAGGAATAAATAGGTGGAATTTTAGGGCAGTAAAACTATTCTACATAATACTCTATATTATGCCATTATACATTTTCCCAAACCCATGGGAATGTACAACACCAAGAATGAAAGTAATGTAGACTGTGGACTTTGCGTGGTAATATGCCATTGCAGGTTCATACATAAATTATAGCAAATGTACCACTCTGGTGAGCAGAAGATATATGGGAACTCAGTATCTTCCTCTCAACTTTTTTGTGAACCCAAATTACTCTAAAAATGGAATCTTTAGATGGAAGGATAGACACAGACAGATAAAAATATACTTGTCCTTCACTGGGAACATAGAAGGAGGGCAACTGTGTCAGATGTAGGAGGAGATAGACAGCAAGCTAGCCATGAAATAGAAAATGCAGAAATGTTGGTGTAAATTGGCATCGATAGAGCCAGAGATGATATTAGACCATAAATAAATGAAGGCATATGAGAGAATGTGAGTGGCTTGTGGCATACTCTGAATTCCTGTGGCACTTGTAATGGGAGCTCTGGGACAGTTTCCAGAAAGGACATGATACATATTATTCATAGTTATGAATGGCTCTGTAGGTATTGTAGTTGTAGGAAAATTTACAGAAGAGTAAGGCAAGCAGATGAGGAAGCACTGTGAAAGTTAAAAAAAAGGGAAAAAAGATTCTTAATGTGCTGCTTATATTTTCAAATTGAAGTAAAAACAATTACTGATTGCTTAAGAAAATGTCACAAATGTATTTGCCACTCTATGACCAAAATTGAGTCTAGCCTGATAGGAATCATATTATAAGGCCAGGGAGGAAAAAATTAAAAACAAGTATCACTTTCAGAGTTCAGCAATAAATTTTGCCAATGAATCTGTAGTGCTATATTGTGTCTTGGGTGATGGGTAGAATTGCTGTGTTTAGAAGGCTACGAAGCAAAAAAAAGTGTCAAAGGTCACCTACCCTGGAGTAAGCGGGTAAAGAGTACCCTGGAGTACTCTTTAGGAGTGTGCAGTGACAGACTCACAAATGAGTTAAGGGGCTTTTTTGTGCCTGTCAGGTTGAAATATTTCTTTCTCCTTAAAAGGGATCCCAGTAAGGGTTTCTGATAAGGCAGAACCTCCTTTGTTAAACTGGACTAGCCAGTTTGATAATCTGTCTTTTGAATTCTCATTGTTAGTTGTTTTTATTCTTCCTTAGCATCAGATAAGTTACAGTTTGGCTCATACAGAACAGCCCTGGCTTCAGTTGGAATGTTTAGCATTTAAAAAATTGGAGTGTCTCCTTAGGAATAATAGAACATTTCCTCTTAACCCTTAACTTCAATCAGTATGATTAAGCATTTTTGTTTCTCCAATGACTTAATGTCATCTTTAAAAATGTACTATGATAAAAGAAAGTAGAGTGTGATAGCTCGTTAGTTTGTTTGTGAGAGAGTTTTACAGCTACTCGATTTATGCATCCATTCCATTTTGGGAAATCTGCAGCTACTTTGACTTAAGTGGTTCAGAAATAGGACCCCTCCCCCAAGTTTTTAACAGTTTTGTCATGTTCTTGTCCATTGAATCTCAAGTCTGTCTGTCCTTTTAAAAAAGAATAGACTTGTGATAAGTAATAAGATCCACACTATATTTAAAGCATTTCAAATGGAATTCACTAGATTTGGATACTTGGCTGTTAGCATTAAAGAATGAAACCAACTTTTAGGAAGAAATTGAAATATCAAAATTTGGTTTACGTCTATACCTACCTTCATTCTCTAAAGAGGAATAAGCTGAACTTTTCAGTGGAACTACTAATTTAATTTTAGAAAGCCCTTTTGTTTTTAAATTATAGGATAATTAAGTTCTGATTTCATTTCATAGTGGATTCAGGGTTTTGGATATGGATTAATTAAAGGTGCTGACAATAGAGGACATTTTTCTCTTTTCATAGCATTTGTTCATTTTTGTAGAGACTATTTCAAAGATGCAATATTTTACAATATTGAAGGCCCACAGTTCCTTTCTGAACAGTTTTTAATATATGCTTGATGGATTGATGGGACCACACATTATCTTTGGTCCCCAGAGTGTTTAGTCAACTCCGTGAAGTCTCATTGGCATCTGGGAATAACTGTTGCAGCCTCATGGCTAGAGAGAACCTCTGCTTATCTGCTTTTCCATAGCCTTTAAGAGTCATGGCTCTATGAAGTCAGAGTCCAGAGCACTGTTTCCTATAGTAATACTTACACTTCTGATTCAACTTTTAATTTGCATACTACTCCTGATTCATACTGTGCTGAACTATAGTGGAGAATTAGCAACAAAGTTTTTCTACCCGTTCCTTAGATGAGCAGCAAGACTTTCTGAGGGTTCACCACCCACCATTCTTCTGAAGGTGGTTGCAGATGGGTATGTTTTGGATGGAGACTTAAAATATTGTCATAATGACTTATTTTGTCATGGCATGCACTCAGTAGGGATTTGTGGTGTAGATATCTCAACTTATATGTAGAGGCTTTTCAAAAATAGAAGCATAATTCCTTAAAGGCAGAGAAATCCTGTTGCCTTTCCCACCACTTATTATGGCTACCAATTTGGAAGACAATTTTAGTGCTTTTACAAATTATTTTTACAAATTATTTTTGAGTGGCATCTTGAGTACCATTTTAGGTTAAAATTTTTTGAACTACTTCAAAATTTGAAGCAAAATAATCCAGTATATTTATTGAGTACCTACTATGTTCTTGGGTACTGAGTTAGGGGCTTTGGCATTTTCCATTATGTGTAAGTTCAATGACATGTTCTTCTTTACCTTCAGTATATATTGCCCCAAACCTGAATTTAACCCCATTAGCATGTCATTACATGTAGGCATAAGCTTGCACTTTGCTATGATTCATATAGGAAATTATAATGCTAATTACATATCTTTTAAAAAGTAATAAAAATAGCACAAATAAAAAACTCATATTTATGGGGCAAAAAAATGTGAAGATGGGCTATGGTAATTTGGTGTCAGAATGTAATGATGTAAAGAAAATTATTTTGGGAATTTGGAAATTTGAATTTCTGAATAATTAAATGTGAGGGATAGTTTATTTTACTACCTTCAAACTTTCCCCTTTTGAATTTTGGTGAACATGCTGATTGATATGTTCTCTGATTATGTTCCTTACCACAGCAAAATTTTGTCCCTTAGTACAGTTTTTTAAGTACTTTGCCTATTAAAAGCAATCAATTCAGCTCTGTTATGAATAAGTTTAAACCATCTATGAAGAAAATTAATTTAGTAACGGCCTTCTTTTACCTTCAGGTCGTCTAAACTATTCATACCCAGGATCCGATAGCTCTCTGCTTATTAATGGTAAGTGATAATTGATTTACCCTAGTGAAGTTCACAAAACTAAAGTTAGTATTAGATGAGAAAATATAGTAGTTGTGCTTCAAAAGTAGAGAACTGACATTAGTTTGTCCCATACTGACAATCCTAAATTGCTGTTAATCAGAAATTTTAAGAATAATCCTTTCCCTCAAAATTGTTAACTTTTTTTTTTTAATTGAGAGCCAATTGATTCCCCTTTATGAAATTGGTGGCAACCAGAATAAATGAGAATCTCACAATGATAAAGACCGGCTTCATCAAGCATTAGCTTCTGTGGAGGAACCTTTGAAATGTCAACATAAAAGCTGCTTCCATGTAGCTGGAAAAGTGTGCCAGGACAAGGGGAGGTCAATCCAATAAAACCAGAAAGAGGCAGCACAAGACCATAGCACATAACGTTACAAAGGACGAGGTCATTCACTGTTTACTGTCAAAGGAGAGCAAGAAAAATTATGCTGTGTTGGCTTTTATAGTACCTTCCACAGATTCTCCTTACTTGTCCTAAATGTTACTCATGTGCTGGTGAGTTCTTTTTTTATGTGCATATGAGATAAAAGGGGAAGGAGGTGGGGCATCCACTCAGAAAAAAATTAAAGAATTTCAGAGTGTCTGTTTTTTTAGTATGGTAGCTTAAAGTAACTGAGTGGAATACAGAGGTTTTGCTTACTTCTTTTTGTTTACTGTCGAATGTATATTTTAGATTTCTATATGTTGGTAATGCCTTCCCTTTGCCAAAGCTTATTTTAAGTCCTATAACCTCCAAGAAATATTCTTGGCTAAATAGCTGTGTTATTATTCCCCAAACAAACACAAGCAAACAAAAAACCTTGTCTATGGCACATGGTGAATAAGGAATTAAAGATTATTTTGTGACCAGATGTCCTTTTGGTTACTGTTTGAAATCATCGTGCTATAGAATGTAGGCTTGTTGAACCAGAAAGCGTGTAAGAGAGTAGATTGGTGAGAGTTGCTGGGCACATCAGTGCTTCTGGGATCTGTGTAGTTCATTAAACTCCATGTGTCTATCAGACTTTGGTCTTTTCATACTACAGTGCCAGAAATAATACCACCATCATAATCATTCCATATATAATGTTCTAGCAGAAATAATGGCAATTATAATGCCATAGTGTAATAGTCTAGCACAAAGTGTGTAGGCCAACCCCTTCCTCACCCAGTGGTAACAGTGGCATCAGGATAAGGAGGACATACCTGCCATGTAGCAGGGTTTTTCTCTTTCTGTAGAACTAGGTCCAGATTCAGGTCTGGGTGCTGGGCCTGAAATTACAATGAGCCAAGATTTGGGATATGGCTGTGTGAACCCAGGCAAAGTGACCAACTCTTCTTTTTTCCAATTTCCTCGTGAAGCTGTTCAGTCTGATCAGTCACTTCCAGGATCCATCTTTATTGAGGAACAAAAACCCACTCTAGTAGGTTTCCCTTAATGCTAAATTCACTTAATTTAAAAAAGCTTATCATATGAGATTGCCTCCCTATTTTTCTCCATTAATATCCCTTCTTTTATAAATTATTATTGGTAATGACTCTTACTTGGCAAAGGAAAAATAAAGGTATCTTCCCTCTCCAAATATTTGTTTTGAAATTTTATTGGTCCATAAACTCTAGACGGGGACTAGATAATTTGCTTTTACTGGTGTTTACATGGAAATTTTGTTTATTGTAAAGTATAATGGCTGAGTTTAACACTATCTCAAACTGAAAGACACAAAGATAAAGAAAGAACAAAAAAGAGATGTAAAAGAGGAAAAACTTGTTCCTCAAGCCAGGCCCAGGAGTGTGTGATTCTGATTGCCATGGTCTCAGGTCTATTATCCAACTTGATAGGGCCCCCAAATTTGATTTTATCAGATGGGATTAAGTGACAAAGCACCTAGAACCAGTTGATAATTTATTCATTTAAAAATGAAGAATGAAACTTGTAGATACACCAGATGTTAGAATTGAATAATAGACCCATTCTTTCTCCAGTAGAAAAGTCCACATTATAGTAGAAGTTTGCCTAACAGTCATGAAATTAAAGCTCAGTAGGGAAGGAGAGCATGGAGACTATTCCTTTGTCACCTTAATTTAGGAACAGGCTCTGCCCAGTTCCCTTAGTCCTACTCAAATTTGTAAAACATCCTCAAGTGGTCCATCAAGAGTGGACCACTTCCATAGATAAATGATTCTTATTCTTGTATTGATTCTTAGTAGCTTTATTCTTACTTCAGCTGGATTTTGGAAGTACTTATATTAAAAATCTATTTTGGTGAATTAATTGCTTTTAGTGAACACAAATTTAAGATTTGCTGATACCTCCCATCTCCTGGGATTGTAGTGAAGATTAAATGCATGTAAATCACTTACCTTAACACACATAATAAGTCAAGTTAAAATAAAGTAAGTAATTTTTTTTGGTTAGGAATACTAGTGCCAAAGATTTACAAAATACAAAACAAGGGATTAAGATAAGTTTGTAAAAGTTGTCTACTGTTGAGCATATGATTTCTTTGACTGTTACTGAGATAGATAACCTAAAATTGTATTCACTTTCAAATGCAGCCATCTTTTCATCTTGTACCCAGGCAACCTTTACATAAAACTGAAAATTAAAACCTAACACATTGTGTCACTTTATAGTCACTGTCCAATTTTAAGACTAAGAGGAATCTGAGGAGCTATTTTTCCTGGTCGGCAAAAATTAGTATACTCAGGCTTTTAAAAACATATAGAAGGGTGATTCTGTCACCACTCTGCTGTGCTTCAACTGTGACTTTCAGTGCTTTCTCTCCTATGTGTCTGTTGAGTTCAGAGCCATTTCTTGTTTTGTTTGGATAAAAATAGGAAAGATCTGCTTAGCCTCTTTTTCACGAGCTTCGAATGCAAGCATTTGAATTTTGCTGTGACTTTTATTACACAACATGTTTTAAAATTTTCAAGCAATCCCAAAGCTTTTAAGGAAAAATGTGGTTTAATTTTAAATAAATTTTTAAAAAAACTAAGTCATCTACCAGTTTTTGGCAGTTCATACTGGAATTTGCCTGTATAAAGATAAAAGGATGTACTCATTCATGGATCAAGTTACTTATTATTTTGCCATGCTCAGTCATCAGTTTTCGTACTATCCAGTGACTTTCATATACTGCTCCTGACATTTATTTATTTATTTATTTTTGGTCATAGTTTATTTTCTTTTTTCCTTTTATCGTTTTTACGTTTACTTACATGCATATATGTTGTTTGTGCCATCTCCCCCTCTCCCCCCTACTCCTGACTTTTAAAAGACAATGTCAGTGTAAGTCAACAAATAATGGTTAAAAACTCTGCTAAGAAGAATGTTGTAGTGTTCATTCTAGAGAGTTGTTCAACTCATTGCTGTGTTATTGGTTATAGAGGCTTTTAAATTTTCTTCTTTTTTTTTAAACAGGCAGTCTTAAGGGAGAAATTCTTGGATTTTAAAAAACAAACTATGTAGCTACTTTTTGGATGTTGTATTAGTGTGCTAGGGCTGTGTACCAAGGACTGTGTAGTTTAAACAACAAATTTATTCCTGATTGCTGGGGATTAGAAATCTAAGGTTTAGGTGTCCTCAGGGTTGATTTCTTTCTGAACCTTTCTTCTTGACATTGTCCTTTCATGGTTTTCCTTCTGTACATGTTGGTGTCCTAATTTTTTCTTAGGACACTAGTCATGTTGGATCAGTGCCCACCCATTTAACTGCCTCTTTAAAGACATTCTGATGTCCTGGAGTTAGAACTTTACCATATGAATTGGAGGGGGGTCACAATTCAGCCTATATAACAGGATGCCTTTTACTAGTAAATTTCATGAAATAGGAATATAGTGAGATTGTCTACTGTATGGTTATGGACAGCAAGCCTGAAACTTGGTTTCTTAGCTAAGTGAGAGAAACTGCTAAACATATGTCAGACTTTTTTCTAGTTCTTCTGGTGTGTCTTGGTGAGCTCTGAAATAGATAGTGGCTTGAAAGATTAACTTTCCTTTACTTATGTTGAAGCTTTATTTTACCTAAAGAACATATAGTCACAATAATCTCTATAGAAAAGGTCTTGTACATTGTTCTTAAAAAAAAAAAAAAGTGTTTCCAGTTTCCCATTCTACTTACTTTAACCCTTAGAATTAGCTGTTTCAAAAATGACCTTGTGGCCAAAAAAAGATATAGAACAACAAGAAAATATTACATATTAACACTCATTTATGTTTTTCCTTTCCTCTGAGGATGTCTGTTCACTTAGAAGCATTGCTTGTTCCAGAGTTTAGTTAAGACATCTTTTAAAGTTTAGCATAGAACAACATGTCTTAATTATAATTCTTGGAATGCAAGGAAGAAGATTGTTTGCTTGGGGTACGGGGTAGAAATCTATCAAAAAGGAGGGTATAATTTACCCAGGAGAAATATAGGTTATAGTTACTTATTGGAAATGCATATTATATGTTCAAGTTGCTACAATAAAGGGTATGTTGAAAGATCCCTTCATGAAAAAGATAATATAAAAACATATTGTAAAGTCTAATGTGCTCTACAATTGGTGGCTTAGAATAGTAATGAAAAGACTAGAATAATTGCTGAAGGTCAAACTAAGAATCCATACACATGAATTATGAGTTATTGTAAGAATATATAAATATGATTATATGTATATATGTATATATATATGTGTGTGTATGTATATATGTGTGTAGATAGATATATAGTTTTGAGCAAAGGAGGAAGTTGTTGAGCATGTGACTGGCAGTTACATATACATATGTTGTTCTTTTTGTTAGTCTCTCATTTGTTCCCTGTTTTTATAAAAAGGAAACTGGAGGGTAGTGATATGCAGAAACTAGAGTTGCAATCTCTTCCTCTCTCTAAGGTAGCTCTTTACAAATAACTGTCGTATCTTTATCATATCTTATGAATGTCCTTTGAATGTTGTACCAACAAACTAATACAAGCTCAAGTCAGTGTGGTATAGGAA